TGTCCCATGATTATATCACTACAATATAATAATTATTACGGTGAGGTTGAATTCTCTGTCATTTATTCATCATCCACATAGGAACTTATCTCAGAAAATAATAATAAATCTATGTACCTTAACCTATAAACTTTCAGGTATAAGAGATATTTTATTTTTTTCTGAGACAAGTGCCTGTGACTATCCACCAGAACTTGCGGTCATCCGATGATCAGTACTTCAGTACTTTGATTATAGTCGTTCTTATGTTGTGCTGTTACACCACTGTCCAAGGTTAGGGGAAGGTTGAGCGCTCACAAACACACGTTCTGTATGTGCGGCCCATTTTGTCGACGCCTCTTCTGGTGTTATTCTATTGTTCGGCGGTGACCTCAATGGTGATGGAGGGGCTTCATTTACAGCACTGTCACTTTCCATATGTCTGTCACAGTCGTCATCTTCCTGTTGAAGGTGTTGTTGTCCGTCAATATACAAGCGATCCCGGACTAGAACTACAACCCTCTGTTGTTGTTTGTCTTCTTTCATTATCGAGAATAGTTTTTTTCTTCGCTTAACAATTTCTACTGGGAACTGCATGTTAACTTATGCTAAATGGGGCACCTTTCAGCTCGAAAGGAACAAATTGAAGGTCGCTGTAATAAATAAATCGAGCGACGATCGGGCGAGCACCATTAAGACCAGGCTTACCAAAGCGATTAACGTTTCCAAACTCAATGAAATGATCGATTTCTAATTCTTGACGTATGAATCCTCTGAGTTTGTTTTCACCATTTTCAAATTTTGTATGACACAGGCCTATGAAAATTAGGTTATTCTTCATACTACGACACTGAAGGTCTAATATTTTGTCTTTAAGTTCATTTATTTCATCGTCATGTACCTGTTTTGTAGACAACTGACAGATATTTTTTTGGCTTTGCTCCAACTTTTTCTCAAGATCGTCAACTTTTTTTTTGTTAAGAGCGCTTATTTGGTCAGACGAAATTTTATATTCAGTTTTACATTGATCATACATATCACTCATAGCTTGTACGCTAGTTTCCAGAGTATTACTTTTTCCTCTAAGTCTTTCAAATTTTTCGTAAGTGTACAGCAGATAGCAGTGTGACAGTTGTTTTTATTTTCTCTATACTTTCCAATGTTCCATACCAGATTCAATCTTTTTTATACTTTTTTCAACAGATGTTACTACACTTAAGATTAATGTCAAGAGAGCTGCCGTATTATTTTCTTGGCCATCCTCTATGACCTTACGGCTTTCAGCAAGGATTTTTGTTGTTTCGGCAAAAGACATTTTGTTCTCCCGTTGGATGCCTCTTTATTTACAGTGTTCATGAATATTAATAGAGTTCAAAGGTCAACTTTTATACCCTTTGTACGTTACATTTATCGAAACTTATATAATTTGTGAATAGATTTTGGTTATGTTATGTGATTACTATTTAGTCAGTAAACAAAGAAAATTGTATATTAAATTATCCTTTTTCCTCATTTTTGACGGAGTAGAATTGTCAAGACACCTTCCATAAAGGGACGTAACTTCTATTAATCTACAAATGATGTCTTTGATTCTACAGAGAAAATAATATCAGTATGTAGTGGAATACGTACGGACAAGTTCCCCGTAAAAACTGCTAAATTTGTGGATTTACTATATGAACTCCCAGTATACACTTTTTTTTATTTTTCACAAGGAAGTTTTAATACTATACTTTTGCTGACATACGAATTAATATTTTGTGATTTATAAAATAACATGTACCCTAAATTTCGGAACCACATAGTAAAATAGGCTTAATTGTATGATCAAAAATATGAAGATTTGTATGAATGTTTGGCAATTCAATTCAATTCAATGTTTTATTAAAGTCTCATCTCTCAACAAGTACAATCGATATTTATACATTGTAAAACAATACTAAATAAAAAGAGAGCCAGTCTATACAGAATTATAATTTTCTTGATAGAGGGTTGCTGCTCACAAGGAAGCTATTAAACCAAGAGTTCCAAATGGTGAAGTTGAAATCATCCCTTCGTTAATTTTACGGACGCCATCACGAGTTGGTTGACCATTATGGAATATCCGTTTCACAGATGATAGCGGATATGTTCCTAATGTGTAACTACAATACCGTTCCCTTTTCCCGAATGTGACCTACTGAATTAGACTTATTACCGGGTTTGTACTAGCATGAGCAACACGACGGGTGCCACATGTGGAGCAGGATCTGCTTACCCTTCCGGAGCACCTGAGATCACCCCCAGTTTTTGGTGGGGGTTCGTGTTGCTCAGTCTTTGGTTTTCTATGTTGTGTTTTGTGTACTATTGTTTGTCTGTTTGTCTTTTTCTTTTTTAGCCATGGCGTTGTCAATTTATTTTCGACTTATAAGTTTGAATGTCCCTTTGGTATCTTTCGCCTCTCTTTTATAAGAAAACAATTTACGACCGACATGAACCAACGACAACCCAATTTCTCGCTTATATGTCATGATAGAGCCATTATTTGGCTTCGATTTTCAGAATTTTGCATTTATACATGATTAAGTATCTAACAGACATGAAAAAATGCAGTTTAAAGCATTTCATTGTAGGTGTTTATCATAACTTTACATCAATTGTATCCAACTTTTGCAAGCTTTTTAGCACGTACAGCAGTTTGTCTTCTAAAAGTTTTGCGTTTAGGTCTAAATCGAAACAAACTGCGAGCCAAAGAAGAATGATTTACTATTTGTGCGCACATTTTGGATAGTAACGAATGTCCATGAAAAAAAGGTCGCCTCGACCTACATTTTTACACTTATCATGAGGAGGATAGATTTAATCGATTTAAAAAGAAACATTCTAATTAACCAAATCATGTAATAACTATTTTGACACAAGTTTAATTAGCAAATGGGAAACGCATGGCAATTAAATATAAAAATATATCAAATAAACAACAATTATCCACGATTCATGCTATCATCTCACGTATTTTTCACATTTTCCATGATTCTGTGTTGATTGTTATCAAGGTCGCTATCGGTAAACTTCGTCATCAAAACCCGAGACTTAGTCGGCAGCTTAATTTTTCTATCAACACTCACTGATTGAAATATTTTTGCCGATTACACGTAATGGATTCGTAATAAATGTACAATAACGTGCAAAGAAGACTTAGTTTAGTATAAATGCGTCATTTTATCAAATTCACAGGCACTTGTCTCTAAATTTTTTTGGCCTATACATAAACCTTTATATCACATGTGCCTGTGATAAAATTGTCAAAAATCATCTTTTCAGGACAAAATCCATTATAATTGTGCTTTCAGTCAATCAGATGATAGTTCCAGTCAGTCTGTAGCAGCATTTTTCGTATAACTTTTAATTTCTGATAAATTATTACATGCCGAGTATACAGTCTGTATATCTTAGTTTTAAAGTTAACAGGCAAAACAAATCGTCCGTAAAGGGCAATAACTTCTATAATGAGCAATCGGAGATTAATTGTATGTAGAGGAACGTGTAGGTCTGGATAATCTGAGTGTTTGCAACTGTCAGTCTCTGCCTGTTACACTGTAAGTACTTGCATTCATTTTAAACTGCAAAACAGGGGCGGATCCAGCAATTTTTTAAAGGGGGAAGGGTTTCCGACCCAGGATAAAAAGGGGGGTGGGTTCCAACCATATGTCCCCATTCAAAAGCATTGATCGTAAAAAAGGGGGGGGGGGTTCCAACCCCCGGACCCCCCTTCTGGATCCGCCACCGTAAAAGATATACAATACTTGCATGTTAATACTTTTGGCTAGCATGCTGGTTAATATTGCAACAAACTATGAGGGTAACCAGTTTTCACCTTTATGACAGTTTTTTAATTTATTTTGTAGATGTATCAATCCTTATTTAATCAGCTAATTCTGAATCTATACTGAATCATGCAAAAAATGCGTTTGAACCGACCTCCAAGCCGGATCCAAGATTCTGCAATGAAGAGTTCCTAAATTGTACCATACTTTTAAAAGTACACATCTAAAAAATCGAATATCTATTTGTTTATTTCATTTCTCCAAAATTTGTTTAACAATTTGACAATAATCCATGCTTGTTATGTATTTATTATGAAATGGATGTCTGTGACATTTTTAATGAGGCCCCTCATGGGGGTGTCCAAGTAATCACATAATCACAAATTTTTTTGCCAATGTAATCACATAATCATTAATTATTTTTTGAAACAAGATAATCAAATAATAAAAAGTACGAATTTACAATGGAGAATTCATCTGTTGATTTATCCGTTTTGTGTACCTTTATGAATACCAAGGACGTATAACTAACATACTTCCTTGAGAATATTTAGCTATTTCGAAAGGTGTGCATAAAAAAATAATAGTCTCAGCCGGGTCAAGAATACCTTTAGGATAATATCCGTCGCTTTTTATGCAAAATGGGGAAAAAGTGGGCACTCGTTGCAATTTATGTATTGAGTGATACGTTTGGGGGTTTCGGAGGAAGAAGATCTTAAAAATAAGATTACGAGTGACGGACGACGGACGTCTAGTGACAACAAAAGTTCATACATGTATTGGTCGTGAGTCGAGTGAGTTTACACTTAATATGTATTCGCATTTAGTCTGAATCAGGTTATTTTACTATTTTTCTAATTTAGTGATTGGTAATCGCGAATATCAATAAATCAACTTTGTTTACAAATTCGTACGAAAAGATTAAGTAGAAAATAAATTCGGTAATTTCCCAGCACTTCCCGCTTTTCGGAGCATCTCTTAACTTATCACATTAATCAAGTTTCACAAACATTTTGTTTCTAAATTTTATGGCTGCGATTAAATGACGAGAATTGTTTATGGGTTACTTTAAATAAATCAACAGAAAAACGAAACTGCATGATTAAAGATGTTTTGAAGTAGTTAAAACGCAATTTAATATGTTGTCATGGTTGGTCGTAAATGTATCGGAATTCAATGGGAGATAACTTATGATCCATTCGGAACACAATATTTTTTATGACAACATTCCAAATATGTTCCTGTTTACATGAAATGAAGATATAATTGTATAGAACATGGTTTTTGAAGAGTCTGGAATATTTCAGACAAGAAAGAACATAAAGCTTGAACCTGTAGAACATTCAGACTTTAATTCTGGTATGAATTATTTCTTCTGGAAGACAACAACTGTTTAGTGAACCTTCTTCACCTGTTTACCTTCACTGTAAAGAGTATTTTCTTAACGTTGACTGCATACTTAATTTCAAGTTAACAATACATTTGAATAAGACAAATTAGGTAAAGAAAATATTTTATGATATGATATAAAATCATCCCTATATTGGAAGAAGGCAATAAACACACATGACCCTGGCCAAAGGGAAGAAAACAAACAGGAAACTGAACTGATCCGCCATTCCATCTAAAGCTTCGCACCAAAGGAACGGGTTGGAGCCATTGTCACCTCGGCATTAATTGCACGATTCTAACAAATTTAAATTCACTACGAAATTTACCAATTATATTGACAGGAACTTTTGACAACTTGACCTCAAATGTTAATACCGAGATGCCGCAAAATTAATAAGTATCTGTTAATTAACCCCCATGGTGGCAGCGCAGATAAATTCCCCACGAGCGTGTTATCGTATTCATGATAAACTGAGCCAGTATCTTTCATTTCCTTGAGAACTCAGTAGGGATATAAATGTGTTAATTTCGCGTTTGAGTTCCTATCAATATAATACATAAAAAAGATCAATAAACAGATCCCATGATGCACTATTCTAGTCTAAATTATTAAATCACGTAGTCAGAAAGTTGACCATGGGATTTAGGCCGTACCTGTTGTTAGTGTAGCGATAAGTGAACACAACAGGGGTCCAGTTTAACAGGAAACATGAGCGGGGTCTCACTAATTAGCGCTAAGAAGTGACAAGAAGAATAACTTTGTGAAAAGAAAATTAAATTAGCATGAAAAAAATTTTAGCATCAAGAAATCTAAATATTAATTCATCAAATAAATAATTATGGAAACATATAAATATAAAAAAAATTTAGACCCAGTAATGTCTGGTAATTGTATTTGTCACTTCCGTGAATATTTCATCTGCTATTTTATTCATAGGAACTGTACTTATCATCACTGCATGTCAAATTTTAAAGAGAAATCCTTTATTATGAAAATATCTAGTGATATATATAATACAGTACCTAAAGCTAGTGATAATCATATTATTGCTTACAAAACTCATTTATGACTTGAAATTTTTTTTTTTGGATTATCTGGAATCACTTTTTAAGTGGTCTATTAATAGATCACCTTTTCCTTTCATAAATATGTGATATACTGGCCCTCCGTACATATTTACTGTCATGGGCAGATTTACCAGACAAACACATTTCCGATAAAAACACAGATGACCCACTCAGTGTTTTGTTGATTTTAATAAATTTATTTCAGATATTTTGTGGGAAATGAGATAAATTACTCAAAATGATTTGTCAGTGAATCGATTTATATTAAATTTGATACAATTTGTATATAATTAAGCAGAAATACATACGATCAAAGCCTTATGTTGGCGGATTTACTGGACTGCATCGTAAATGTATTTTCATTATTTTATTATACATTAATAGGAGAAAATAATCATTTGTTCAAGAAAAAGAGGTTTTTTTATTTATTATACAGGATATATTTCAGATAATATAGATAATATATATATATATACAGTTTACAGCATAGTGTACAAATGAATGAATCAATATTTATGTAGAGTGTTTTGTTTATGTTTGTGTGTATGTTTGGAGGGGGTCATTTCTTTATTCTTTAATTTTAATGCCATTTTTCTCTGTTCTTTATAGGCAATTAGTATAATCAGATGATTAAAGGATGATACATACTTTGAAATAAAAAAAAATAACAAAATTCATTACAAGACTGTTAAGTTGGACTGCTACAAAATACAACACAATTTGAAACTTTATAAAACAATGATACAAATAATCAAATGACTAATTCATTGACTTTTTTCTATAAATTTATTGTTTTAATAGTATAGACACTTTTTTGTCTCCAAATTTGTCTTTCTGTTGCTAATATTCTAAAATTCTTCTTGTTGCTAATTATTGAGACCAACATGATTGGTCACAAATCATTACTTTACAGAAAAATCAAGATTGAGCAACACTCCCCCTATCTAAGTTAATAATGGGCAGTTGTTAGTTTAAACATATTTTATTTGTTCAAGTACAAATTGGATAAGACACAAGTCAAAACAGACTTATGAAGTCTTCTCCATTTAACATTTATAGCAATATAATACAAAATATATGTATGAGCATGCATGTATGTATAGAATGGTATATCTATTTAATATAATGTACATGTATATGGATTTATGTGAAAAGACAGAAAAGTGAAGACAGAAAGAAAACAATAATACAGAAAAAAATAAATATATAAATATAAATAAATGAATATTTAGAAAACAAAAACAAAAATTAAAATACAAATTAAACAAACAAAAATACATCAAAAAAAAAAAAAGAAGAGACTTTTTTATACGCCCGTTTACGGGACGTATTATGGTATACCTCTGTCCGTCCGTCCGTCTGTCCGTCGTCAACATGTCGGACATTAACTCAAAATTGCTTAAACCAATTTGCATAAAACTTTGGTGAATTGTTTATATCTATTGACGTGAGCTCCCTTTCGTTTTTTATAAAATTTAGATTTTACGTTTCCGAGTTATGGGGTTTTATTCATTAAAAAAAGGGGGATTTTCCAGTTTTCGGACAATAAGTCAAGAATGCTTTCACCAACTTGCAAGAAATTGTGGTGAATTGTTTATATCTATTGACATGAGCTCCCTTTTGATTTTTATAAATTTTAGATTTTACGTTTCCGAGTTACGGGGTTTTATTCATAAAAAAAGGGGGGACTTTCCAGTTATCAGACAAAAACTCACAAATGCTTTCAGCAATTCTTATGAAACTTTGGTGAATTGTTTGTATGTATTGATGTAAGCTCCCTTTAGAATTTTATAAATTTTACATTTTACATTTCTGAGTTATGGGGTTTTATTCATTAAAAAGGGGTGATTTTCCAGTTTTCTGACAATAACTCAAAAATGCTGTCACCAATTCTCATGAAACTTTGGTGAATTGTTTATATCTATTGATGTAAGCTCCCTTTTTATTTTCATAAATTTCTAATATGACATTGAGAATTAATTATACTTTATTTGTTTATAGTCTGACAACAGATTTACTAAGTATTGCACAACAGCAAGAAATCTTTAATTGAACATAAATTCAATTCATATAACCAATTACAAGTTCTTTGAATACATTTATTCAGACACCTATAATATGTCAAATATTTAATTACAATCCAAATTCAGACCTGAATCAAGCTTGAATATTGTGTCCATTTTCGCCCCAACTGTTCAGGGTTGGACCTCTGCGGGCGTATCTAGCTGCGCTCAGCGAAGCAGTTTATTCTTAGATGATGATGTGTGTGCGATCATGGTTTGCTATCTAGACAATTAGAAATGGGCAGTTGTTGCCTGTGAAAGAGGACCAAATTAGAAGTCCTTATTATTTAGACTAAGTAATACTATTTGGTAATCAGATACATGTATATACAAAGAAGTATGTTTGATAAGGTCCCACGTTGTAATACGGCCCCTATTTCTAGCGTAATTTTCACATAAGAATAAATGGCGATTTTCATAATATAGCATAGCTTTTACAATGACTAGAAAGAAAATATGTATTTTTGTTTGAAAATTTATGTACATGTATCAGCATTCTTTATACATCTTATATGATGTTTTAATTAGCATAAATCTTAATTTGCCACCAAATTTAACTAAAACATGCAAATTTCATTAGGCTTTTGGGACTAACACAAAGAGTGTGTCAACCAAAAAGATTTTTAACAATGTTTTTATTACAAATGAACTGTCTGATTTAGTTTGTAGAACCTTGCTGTCTAAATTTTTCATAAAATTTGCACTTACCATGCTTACTGTGCATTCAGGAATTATTGTGATGTTTTTATTAATGCAGAAAATTACTAAAAACTCGCATTCATAATTTCAGTAATAATTCTCATACCTGACAACCTCTGAAAATGAAAATGCAGGTCATTGGAGTTCACCTATTTTGAAAGAATTCAATCAGTAATATTTCAGAAAATAAAAGATAAAAATAACAAGCCAGTTTCATGCAAAATTTCACCAAAATCTGTGACATAGATCATTTACTGTTCCTTGACATTAAGGAGTATACTGTGAAAAGTGTCAAAAAAGGGGGAGTAACTCAAATTTTTTGTCAAACATCTTTGAAATACACAAATTATTTATGACCTTAGGCTAAGGTAATTGGTGTTAATAAATAGTGCGTTTGACACCAAAGCTGCCAAGTGAAGCCATGCACTTAATGGGTCACTTAATTTGACAGTTTACACAGCTAGTTGAACTTCCTGTCCAGGAAGAATTATGAATTTGCCGGTATTTCAAAGGAAAATAACCTAAGAAATCTATCATTTCATATTTAAAAAGTCTCAAGGCACAAGAATACAGGTGAAAAAAGATTAAATGCCGAAATTACAGGTTAATTGATGACCCTGGGAACTATAAAAAAATTGCGGGTATGTCTTAAATTCCTGGTTGTGACCCGCAAAATCTGGGTCAGTTGACATGTATGAATTCTCCTTCTCAAAATTCTGCAAGGGCAATGATTAGATCTCACATTTTTACCAGTAATAAGTAATTTACAATATTGAATGCGCACATTAATTTCAGAATTTACAGTCTCTGTTTTATTTATAGGGATGACAAAGTTACAAGTTACTGAAAACAATGGAAAGACAGGAGAGAAAAGTACAGACGATCTTTGTGACCTCTTGTTGAGTCTTAAAATAGAGAAACTTAAATCTAAAGGACCTGTAAGTTTGATTATAGTTAGACTTGAGTATGTTTACACATGGTTGCTATGAGAAAGACACCAAAGGGATATTCAAATTCATAAATCGAAAACAAACTGACAATGCCATGGCAAAAAACAACGAAAAGAAAAACAACAGTACACAAAAAAACAACATAGAAAACTATTGTGGCACGCGACACACTATTATAAGTGTAGTATCAAAGACATGTGATTTGCCTTATGTACATGAAATTTACTTTATTTTTGACTTTACTGTATTCATCTATCATATACATCCAAACAATTTCATTATTGTTTTTATCTACACCAGATTTGCATATGATTTTAACTGAAATGAAAAAGCAATTTTTTTTTAACAAAATGATAATTATAATACTTTGTTATAATGCTAAAGTATACAACCAAGCAGATTGTTAGAATTTGTAAACTTTAGTGTATTTCTGTCTGTAAAATTGTTTTTTTGTTTAAGAATATCTAGAATATAGTTGTAACTGTTGACATTTTTGATATTTCAGAATGGACTTGTTCAGAGAGGAAAGCCACAGGTTAGACAACCAGTAAATTCAAACTATATACAGAAGCAATCATTTCAAGATTGGCAATTCCCAGATTTGAAAGTTTCTGAACTTTATGGTAGTGTTGTGAAAGTTGATTCCCCAGATGGCTTTCCATATATTCCAAATGATAACCACATAGGCCATCAAAACATACCAAAGTTTCCACCACAAAATAATCTTGTTCAGGGTGTAGACTTTAGTTGTCAGGTGTGGTCACGTCAGCACTTCCCATTTTGGCAGTATAACAGACGTTCAAGACCGATAACAGCTAGATCAGATCCAAATGTTAGTGATGGGCCAGTTAACATACCGAGGAACAATAGCAGACTACCAGATATATTAGACGGACCAGGATCCAGGAGTAAATCATCAAGCAGCAGTAAGATTTTAGTCAGATTTGTTTTTTTTCTGTGAAATGTTTAATTTAATTGAAGTTAAGAAATAATTTCTAATTTCCAGTTATTCATTAAAAAAATAGTTGTGGGGTACACATCAATCGGACAGCAACAGGGAAACACAATACCAAGGTAGGGAGTTTATATTGAGCGTGTGAGAGATAGGACTAATTCCAAAGTTCCAACTAAATGATTTGGTTTGTTACTATGACAAAGGTATTTACATGTACGATTGTTATATTTGGATCACAGCAGCTCATGTCAGAATTAAATACAGATTGATAGGACTAGTACATGTACATAAGCAATCTGAGAAGTGTATCTTCCCACATAGACATAGCTGCTATTATGTTTCCACACATTTATAAATGAACAGTTCAGTAGATTTGCACATGTATTTATCACTTTTGTTCCTGTAAAGAGCCTAATTACAAAAAGAAACCTTCACTAGTATAAACTCAGAGGAAATAAATCATAGGTCAGACAAAATTATATCTTAAAATGGAAAGTACTGCATAGATGTTTTACAATTCAGTGAACACATTGTGTAGCTTCCAACAAAATCAAAAAGAACAAAATTACACAGAAAAAAAACCAAAATATGTCACAGAGTTTTGATATATAAACAAGATACAATGCTTCATTGGGTTAATTCTGTTGTTGGGTGACTGTCTCATAACAGTATGAATGTCTTTGTTTATTCCTACCATTTTCTTAGTACCTTGAGGCATTACTGATACATATTAATAACACTAAAACACATGATAATCCTTTTAGATGATATAGAAACAGATGAAGTACCCTATGGTCCGACATATGATTTAGATGACCCATTCCTCCGTTCATTAACAGATCAGCAGTTTCCATTGTTTGAAGAAATCACAAATTTACATAGAGATTCAAAAGACATTGATTATTTCAATGAGAATAGTAATTCTAGCAGCAGTGATGCGTTTAGTCAAAGTTCCCCGCTGAATAATCATGATAATGATCTGAATGATATCAATAACATCATCAATGAATACTCTTATACCACAAGTCCGAGCAGTAAAGTTGTCACTACCTTGGAAAATTGTCGTTTGTCACCAGATACTGTTGAAGTTGTTGACCCCAGTCGTAAACGGAGAGGTCAGGATGGACAACCATCTCCACCAAAACAGCCTCATCTTGACTTTCCTGATGCTGATGAAGATGGTGATAGGTAACTATGGTTACATTAGTACTTTTGTTGGCCCCAACAGTTGAGACCAAATTTGGAGTTTCTGTTCTTTACTGCAACTGACCTTAATTTTGAGCTGATTGACAAAAAATCATTTTCAAAACAATAACTTTAAATTTTCTGCAATGATGGCTAAACTTGAAACTCTTGTAAAAAGAAACAGTTAAATACAGTTTGAGTTATTAGATTGTTTGTTTGCATATGAATGTGTGGTATACTGAAATTACATCCTTAAATATCCAGTATAGCTTCCGTTACATTTCCCACTACTCAAATTGGGGAACAATATCCTTGTATTGATTAATATATAAAGAGGAATTTTTTCCTTAACATTATTGACATCCAACCTACATTGTGTGCTTCCACATAAATTAAACACTGTCAATGAGTCAAATACAACGTAGGTAAAAAAATAAGGAGATGTGGTATAATTGCCAATGAGAAAACTATCCACCCAAGTTCAAATGAAAGGCCCGACATGAAAATTATGAAACAATTCAATTGAGAAAACCAACTGTCTAATTTATAATAAAACAATTTATGAAAAACAAATATGACTGGCATGAACCAACGACAACCACTGAACTGCAGGCACCTGATTAGGTATTCTTCAATGTTTTCTAATTTTTCATTAAAACATTGAGGATTGTAATAATGGAGACAAAACTTTTTGCAGTTTGTTTTAGAGAGCTACCCCATGACAAAAACATTTCTTGTGTACTTCAAATGACATAGATCACAATGATTATTTAATGTATTTTTCCATTCTATATACTGATGATGACTTTCACTAACTGTTACAGTGTCCTACATTCTTTGGTGATTGCTGATGACTTTACAGATGATGATATGGAGAAGATCTTATATTATTTGGAATTGGACACAGCTGATCAGTTATCAGATATAATTGACAAACAGAATAACATGTGGAGGGTAGGAGAAAACTTTTCATCTATATTTCATATACACATAACATACTTGTAGGAAAGCACAAAGAAATCCCTTGAAATAAAAAAAAAGTAGTCTGGTAGTATGAAGGAGTTTACACTCTTGTCTCAATAGCGAATTATTGGACCTCTTCAGGTTGACCTCAAGATTTAGTGGAATACCCCAAATCAACCATTGCATGTTTCATTTTGATACCTCTTTAGTTGTAAGAAGAACTTGTATTTGCTGCTTCTCCGTTAAGCACGCGGCATTCAGGAGTAAGAGCAAAGGCTGGTCGGCTCAGAGTCAGAATAATGTGTCCGGGTAAGATGACATGTCTTCCTGCAGACTGTGAACTAACATGTTAAAAATCCGGCTCAGCTTGTCGGTCTAGTACAAAGCAGGGTAAATACTCATATTACATTAACATGTTCTCGTCCTGAATATGCATATTAATTTGCCGTTGGACGTTAAGCAGTCATCCATCATCATCATCAATTGTAAGAAGTGAGCCTTTTTATTCAAATTTTTTGAATTATATAACAATTTATTTGAGTATGTTTGTTTAAGCTGGCAATCGTGATAGATATATATACAGTCATCCAAAGGAATCAGAGCAGAAAACCATCTTACATTACTATTCACTTTTTTTTTCAATATTATTTTAAAAATTCCTCTGACAACAATTTTAGCACTCCTACAATTCACAGAAAGTTTAACAAATCCCTAGCAAAGATTCTGTTATCTATAAATATTTTGTAAACTTTTCTGATTTGATTATAGACTGCTTTGTTCTTGGCTGTGTTAGCAGAGAAGACAGAATTTGTTCAGTGTTTATTAGATCATGGAGCAAATCCAAACATACAGGGAAAGGTAAATCTAAAATTTACAAATTTTAAATAAATTTAAACTACAAATAAAAAAAAATCTTTCAATTATCTCCCTTAGATTGTCAGACATTTATTCTTTAAGATGCAGAAATGATTTGTCAGAAAATATATGTACAATTTATATAGGGATACATGTATGCTTTAAAGACTTTTTTAATATTACCACTATTAATATTAGAGTTTTGTTTTTCAGCACCTTGTATATTGTTTTGAAAAAAAAAATTAAAAATAATCTTGTATATGTGTAGCATTACACATCAATTAAATATATCATACTTACATGTACATAATTGTAAGAATTATAAAATTTACATTTGATGTGCAATCTGTATAAATTATCATGATAAACTGAAGGAGATATCTTAAACATGTATTTATAGTTTTATATACTTAGCTATATCTCATTTAGAACAGATTTTAGTGGAAGTCAATAAAATAGAAGCTTAACAATTTAGGCAAATCTGAAAATTGCCTTAAATTTTGTACTGATGTTTTGTTTATGTTTACAGATACAGTATTCAGCTGAGACATATGACCTAAGGACACCCTTAATGTTGTCTGTAGAGAGGGGAGATAACTCTATAGAGATAACTAAGATGTTACTGGAATCACCAGACATGAATATTAACTGTAGGAGTGAAAGTGACAGTAAGTTTAGAAGATAAAATTGGTTTATATGTACTAAGTGAGAATGTTAAAGAGGACAGCATAACAAACAAAACCTTCACTAAACCAACTTATGAAGTAGATATCGAAAATTACTAGAAACATAACAATTTACCAAAGAAATATTTTATACAGATAAAGTCGGATTTCTAATTGTTCCCAGAAATACACATCTAGAGTTATACCTACGAATAGTCTCCAAATGGTGAAATTGGAATTCCAGATCATAATATTTATCTGCTCTGACCTGTAATATAACAGTACTATCTATCATGAAATTGAGCATATGGACTGTATTGTTTTTCAATAATTGATTTTGTTGGCTGTATAGGACATAATGATCAATATTCTTCTCAAAAAGACAGGAAAACATACATCTACAGTTGCAGCTTTGTTAATCCATAGGCTTCTTTTCTGAACAAATGGATTTTTTTTCAATGATAGATTTAGAAGGCTTTGCATCATTACTACACAAAAGTACCTACCATGAGATTAAGATAACGATCTTTATTTAGGGTTGTTACATTTTCAATGTATAGTTATGCCTTGTGAAATGTAATCTTACCAAATTCACAAACCAAACTATTTTGCAATAATAATTTTTGCTTACTTTGAAAGCTCATTCTATTTCAATCCTTAAGATCATCTCAGTTATACTGTGGATTCATTTATTTACATAGATACCAATTTTCATGAATTAAAACAAAATTGTATTTGTATGGATTTTTGATTTCCTGGTTTTGATTAAGTCTTCATGTAAGCCTATAGAAAAGTTGTACTACATTAAACATTTAAAGTCGTGGTTCACCTGTCTACCTTAAAAATTGGTTTCCCAGGAATAATCGTGATAATGAATCTCAATCCCTCCACACATACCATTCAAAAAAATTCTTTTTCATCTTCTGTCAATGCACCATAGCATTTGTGTTTTTACTTTAGATTTGTATGCCTCTAATATCACTCATATTATCTTATAGTTTTAAAGAACTTTACAGTCAAGTAAATGCTTTTACATTTCAGGATTAACAGCACTTCATATAGCTCTTAAATCACACAGATTACCCAGTAGTAACCGTGGAGGACTGGATTGTACAAAGACAGTGAAATTGTTGATAATGAATGAGGCTGACACAGATTTAGGGGTACTTGTATTAACATCACATCAATTAATACCAAATATTTCAATAATGATATTCATTTATGTCACAATGGTAGAAGTACATAATTTGCATTTAATTTTGATGGAAGATACAATGTACAAAATGCAAATATGTGTGTAAAGTAAGGAAAAGTTCACTTATTTTCCTTTTAATTTGTGAATAATTTTTCTCATTAACATTATCACTAACTCAAATGAAACATATCAGTGAAAACAAAAACAATACTGTCAAAACAAATGTTCTTATTCGGTTTAAAAAGAGGATATTTCTTTTAAATGTAAAAGACATTTGAAGGATTAAATGACAAGCAGACTGCTAAAAATACAATACTAAGTCATACTGAATATTTTTGTATTCTGGACTGCTTGCCTGTTGGATACTGATATTCTTGATATAAAATGCAAGTTTGTAATTTTCTCTGACAGGAGGATAGAAGTAGTAAAACCCCCTTGATGTTGGTTATTGATACCTGTGATCTGAGTCTGGTCAAAGTTTTCATCAATTGTGACACAGAGAAAAACCCAGAAACAATAAGATCAAAGATGAATGCTACAACACGGTCAGGTGACACAGCTTTACATTTTGCTGCTGGTGCTAATTTCGAACGGAAAAAGAAGTGCAATTTGTTACGGCTTCTTGTCAACAGCGGAGCAGACAGTAGTATTGAGAACAATGAAAAAGAGAAACCTGAAAGTATTACCACTAAAGATCTGGTAAGATTAAGTTTCAGGAAGAATAATGTCTTTACATGTGATTTTACGATCTACTTGCAATCTAGTAATTTATTGAAACAAAAGTATACATTAAGTATAGCTATTGAAAACAAAAAATTACAAATCATACATTATTTGGTTTATTTAATGATAAAATTGAAAATACATTTAACAACTCTACATACATGTACAACTTCACTATCACAATTGAAAATTTTGCCATTCATATTTGTTCATCCACCTATTTACTGTTTATCATGAAGTTGAGCAATCAATGCACTCAATGTCAGAGATGATTAACATTATGCTCACATCACTGAAAAAAATGTATCTTAGCATTGAATTATTTGTTTCAACAGTATTGATAATTTATTAACAATACAGTAGACTCCACCTAATCGGATATTGGCTACACAAATACATCTTCTATTGTAATATTATTTCAAAACACCAAATGTGTATAAGTTAAAACTTTTATATTTTCAAAAATGCCCTTTTTGAAGATAAATTTACTCTGGATAAATAGATTTCAAGTATCAATATGAATAGATAATGATTTCTGTAATGTTTGAGACCTTTAGAATATATAAATAGTTTATAATTGATAATGTTGTCTTTACTTTCAGTGGAAAGAAGCATTTAAATGTTAAACATAGAACTACTATGGAGACAGACCTTGACTACCATACTTACAAACACTGTTACTCAGATCAAAATGATGATTGTTATTTGTTACATTTTTTAACTACCGTGGATTCATTATTATTCCTTAGATACCAATTTTCGTGGATTTTGTGGGTACAGATAAACCATGAATTTCAATGTTAAACAAAGTATACAATTTATATAGGCTCTTATTCAGACTTTTACAAGTTTGTTTATTATTGTTACCCACGATAATAAATGAATCCACATTATTGTTATTACTTAATATTTGTACAGTATTTGTTTTGTGATTTTGTTAGTGATTTTGTACAGTAAGATCTGTGATAGTTATTCTTGTTACATTGTTTTGTCTGCAATACCCATTATTTTCATAAAAGTTATTGTTATGCACTGTAATCATCACTCAATTTTTTCAAGAGTTAAATTTAATCAGGGACTTTTAAATTTAGATGATTTTTTTCTGGGATACTTGAAATAATTAAAACTTTGTAAGCTTTTGACTAAATATGTAAAAGACTTAAAAAGAGGAATAAACACTCCAATATCGCGTCCTCTAAAGTTTGTACCTATTATTTAAAGACCTCCACTGCTCTTCATTGCTGGAATTATTTGGGGTTTTACCTGTTTATTTCTGGATTAGTTCGTTACTTCAGCAAACTTTTGATAGAGGCATAAAGTCACATAAGCTACAGTATATTTTACCAAAATGGTTTATTTCTGCTTAAATATTTTAAAGGTCAGCAAATAATATCTTAAATGCATTACAAATCAAATAATCATTCAAAACATTAAAATATAACTAATTTTCAAATAAATTTGCTCAATATGACATAACATCCCATAAGACCATTCTGTATATAGTAAAATCAAAACATTACCCAATTTGCATTAATTTTTATCATAAATACACTTTTTGTGTGCTACAATGTATGGTATGTCTTTGTCTTACAATAACTTACAGTAAATATTTGTTAGATTTTGAATTAAGACGATATATATTTTGCATAATAATTTGTTCGCTAATAAAAGTTTATTGACTTTCTAAAGCATTTAATGTAAATAATGCTATTAATTTTGCCTTGTTTTAGAACTGATACTTTCTGTTTTAATTTGACCTGTTAAGCAAAACACACATCTGTACAGGTGCTGTGGAAGTCCTATCTGGAAGACCTGCTTAATCTAAGAAGAACTAGATTATATTATAAAGTTCATATAGGACTGAGAAACAATGAAAATGCACAATAACAGCATTATTTTTGCAGAACAATAATGAAACCCATCTTATTTATATACATATACATATACATGTACATGTACATTAACATTATTTCAAAAAAGATTTTTTTTAACTTAATATGATGCTATGATGTCTCAAATTATGAACCTGGGTACTCTCACTCAAAAAATGTATAATGTAAATAATTTTTGTTGATTTCTGATTAGTTTTTGATTTTGGAAACATTGGCTACATGCTCTGACCTAATATTTATGGATATTACCCTTATAAATTTTTGATCTCACGTTTATTTTTGTCAGAGAGTGTATTGCCAGTATTTCCCAAAGGATATATTGTTAAAAAATGAGTAAACAGGAGTTGCTGTCATAAAATCTTGAAAATTGACTTGTTCTGGGGAGAACCTGTCCTGAATGTTTTGAAATTAAAGGATAAATAGGTATTTATGAACTGAAGAAAGATCTGATTTCAGGTAACAGGTACTTAATTGGTGATCTCACAGAATTTCATGAAATTTTGCATGCAACTAGAGCATGAGGCACTACTCATAAAGATTGACAAAATTATACATGTAACTTTTATACTGTATGAGTATTTTTATATTTACGTGAAATAGAAGTACAAATGTGTAGAATACAGGTAAATATTGTAGAAAGAGTTCAACAATTTTTACCATAAATCATTATTTTTCTAAAAAACTTTCCTACAAATTTTCTTTAAAAGTGATATGTTATTGCTTTTGAAATTTCCTTTATAATGATTATTGTTGAAAAATTTAAATGGGGGTCACCAAATTTGTTTTTTTGTGTGTATAAATAGTTGAATCTTCTGACAGCTTGAAAACAGTACTGAAAAGGTAAAAGTAAGTGTGACTAAGTGACAGCATTGTGAATCAAAATGTTATTTTCAATGTTTTTTTTAAATATTACAGATACATTTGAATGTTTTATGCAACAAAAATGAATTTGGTGACCCCTTTAATTTTTATGTTAAATAGAATGGAAATTTAAGAGGCAATAACAGATAATTTTTAAAGTGAGGACAGGTTTTTTGAGAAAAGATAATTTACAGTCAAAATATTCAATATATTTGGTGATATTTATGTGCATCCTATACAAATGTACTTCTTTCTACAGAATATTCAATTTGCAATATCACGAAAGTATAGAAGTTACTTATATATTGTATTCGATATTCATATGCATTTCCACATGCTTTAGTTCCAAATTTCATAAAAATCTGTGAGATCCGCCATTAACCCACATGTAAACTTAAGCATATAATTTAAGTTTGCAATACAAAGTTACAATTGTCAGTTTATATAAATTGTATATACCTTTTTATAAACAAAACCAGTATGTTTGTGCAATTATCTATTATACAAATAATTAAGTATGAATTTCTGATTTTTTATTTTGTGATGTTTTGTTAGTAGTGCTTGAATAACATTTATATAATGATTATTTATCTATACATTTTATATATTTATCTTTCCTGTAGATACATTTTTGAGAAATGGGGAAAGTGTGTTACAATAGTTTGTTCTATGTTATTGCTGTAACACTACTGTCCAATTTTAGAGGTAGTTTTGACAGCTCACAAATGTTCAACGCTGCTACATTCTTTATGTGCCTTAAGGTGGTACCAAACACCTTGACTAAAATTAATTTGGCTATTTTATTTTTCATAAAATTTTGACAAAATATTTACTTTGACCCTTTGACAAAAATATAAAAATTTCAAAAAACTTGAACCACACACTTTATCGGAGAAGTTTCATTGGATATATAGCAGTTTGACAAACACTAATTTTGATCATTGAGAAGCTTAATATTTCCTTAACAATAGAACGTGATTAAAACGTTCAGCTGATTTTTACAGAGTTATCTCCATGTAGTGTTATGTACCACCTTAATTAAGCCAGGAGTCTGTAGTCTAGTGGTTGTTGTTGGTCGCTGTCTTGTCATCATTTTTTTCATATACATGTAATATTATTAGCTTAATTATGCCATTAGTTTTCTTGTTTGTATTGTTTCATGCTTTGTTATTGGGGGCCTTTATAGGTTACCAAACAGTATGGGTTAGCTCATCGTTGAAGATACTTTTTAACTGACAAAACCAGTTTGTTTGTGTAATTACCTTTTATATGAAATATTAATTATCAATTTGTGAACTTTAAACTATAGGATGACCTGTAGTTATATGTATCTTTTTTCTTTGGTCTTTTGGCAAAAAAAAAGCCACATCTCCATATTGTATACATTTTATTCTTAGACTAGGTACAGATGATACATGTCAAGAGTAACTACTTACACTTGACTCAAGTAATATATAGGTGATGGTTCAGTTTCAAGGTTTGATTTTTTCATTGTATTACAATGTATGTTTTTGATCTAATGAACTTATTGAAATCTAGATTTGTAAAATGCGTTCTGAAAATAAATGTAATGAAATAAATAAAAACCAAATTAAAATGAATTTATCTATCCATTAATTAAGGTTTGAACTAGTAGACATTTTCTATTACAAGCAAGGGCTTGCATTTTTGAATAGAAATTTATTAAAGTATTATATGTATTTGTACAAAATGTATATAAAGAAAATTTTCATATATTTTAAACTTTCATAAAAGATAATAGTTTGAGATAAAGACTGTATTATACCTTGTATTCATATAGTCATTTTTTATTTTGCCTTTTTCATATTCATAGTTTAATAAGGTTGTATATTTTTATGATGTTTTCTCATAGTTACTGCTGATAATCATCCAGAAATTTAAGGATAATTTTTTGTGTGAATAATTCATCCTAAAAAGAGAAAATGACAGAACATTGAATTATCTGTCAATGAGTAATAGTCAAATCAACATCTATACCTAAACCATGTATGTGCTTCACAAACCATAAATGTTGAAAGGACTCAATCACAACATTGTTTCTAAAATTATATTGTATTGAATAGTTATCAATAATTTTTATTAAATTATTTTCTTATTATTCATTTGAAATTGTAAATACCATTATATAAATGTATTTTCAATTCAGCTGATATACTTGAGTTAGTAAGAAGAACAAAGAAGTAAAGTTTACTTGTTTGTTAAGTGGACCATGAAATCAATATTACTTTTTTTATTTCATATGATAAATACCTGGAGAAGTGACATAATATATACAGAAGTTAAATTAAGCACAATAGTCCATTTACATATAACCTACTTTCATTTGGATTCTATAATTTCTGTAAGAGTTATTTCCCCTAAGGTTGGACATCGTTGTCCTTGTGCTATGATTTGTTCAGCTGTAATAACACTTGAACTTTCTATTTTTGTTTCGTAACTTAGGGAAATTATCAAAGTTGGAAGGTGCATTTGTAATTTTTCAAATTGGATTATCCCACATTTACCTGAATAAGTATCAACTAAAAAGTTATTTAAAATAAAATGACAAATTATTTTAACAAATGAATTATATGTATAGGATATATGACAGATACTTAAGTTAAGTATAGGCTTTGTTGCTTGGGTGTTTTTCATTTATTGGTAATGGAACATGTTTCACTTTGGGTTATCTCCATTTTATCTTGAAAATCTAATCCAAAATATAGTTCAAATGTAAAACATGTTACATTCCCCTTTACACGTGCTTTATATGTATGTCTGATAAGTCAATTATGTATATAAAGTATCATGTCACCTCTTTCGATGCTTATCAGAGAAACATTATTTAATATTACTTTCCAATCAGATTATAGAACCGGTAGTGAAAGGTTTTAATGGTTAGTTTCTACATTGACAATTGGTTATAAAGAAGTCATGGTTCACTGAACGAACTAAAGAAGTACTCACTAAAACAGTTCCAGTTGTAAATCAAATAATGAGCATGATTTTACTTATAAACATTTTTCTCAACTACAGAAAAAAAGGAAAATTTTTTAACATTTTTTGAAAAAATTATAAATGTTATAAATGTTTTCATGTTATCATAAATTTTATATCACAAAGTCAAATAAACAACTTAATGTTAGTACATTTGTATATTTTTACTTGCATAAAATTTTGTTAACTACAGAATATAATTTTTTCTTTAAATACTGATAAATGGTCAGAAAGTTATTTAGATACAATGTATATTCTCCAAAATGTTCAGTTGTACATTGCAGCTACTAATGGTTAGGTGTGTGTTAGAATACATAATAAAACATCATTATTTATGCAACTTCATGGTTTGAAGAGAGGTATAGCTTAATGTTTGTTTTCAGGTCTGAAGAGGTATAGGTTAATATTTAACTTAAGGTCTAAAGAAAGAAATAACAAATTTGATTTTTAGACATCTGTAATCTTACTGACTTTTCAATAGGTATTTTGAATAGTATTTTTACTTGTAAAATTTTACCATGATTTTTTCTTTCCATGATTTTTGAATATTTTCAAGTGATGTTGAAGTTCTTCACATTTCTTAACCTAAAATTGAAATTCTATAAATTTGTTAAGATACACTTTTGGACAAAATGTTTTGTATATTTATAAATAAAGATATGTATACAATACAGTTGTGTTAGTTATATATATAGGTAATGGTGTCTATTTATATTTGCTTAGGTTATAAGTTAATATTGGTGGGTCTCTCCGGGCACTCTAGCTTTTTTGATAAAAACTGATCTCCATATTATATATGTGTTCTAATATGGCTTTAAACACTAACTTTCAATCAATCATTAATTTGTGAGATATTGCAAACATAGTTTTATCACTCATATATTATTTGCCATGAGACTAAGTAGCAAGGTTGTATATAGTTTAGACCTATCCACAAGTTTGTCAATCATTTTGGTTTTGGAATGCTTAATCTAATATTTTATAAACGGATGCAACCTTACTTGGATATATGGTGACATAAAATGAAAGGAAGATACTTGTTGAATTTTAGGTTACTACATCAAAGATTTTAGGTCATAGTTAATAAAAACAGACCAAAATTTGTGCTGAAAAGTGATTTTCAGATGCCCAATCAAATATCTAATGTCATATTTCAACCTTACCTTGATGTATGTCCACATTTAAAGACAAGAAGATCCCTATTGATTTTTATGTTACTATCTTAAAGATCAAGGTCATAGTTAATAAAATATATCAAAATTTGTTCAGGGAAATGGTTTCCAGATGCATAATCAAAATCTATATTTGGAATAGCAACAGTACTTTAATATATTGCCATATATAATGAGATGAACATGAATATCTGTTTTGATTTTGAACTCACTAGGTCTAAGGTCATGGTCATATATATATATATATATATATATATATATATAGTTACTACAATTTATTTGTTAGACAATACCACTATCAGCAATAAAAGCACTGTTCCTTTGCTTTTTGTGTGTTTTTGGCTGTGCATGTACTGATTTTGTGTCATGGATGGATACCGCATATCCTTTGTTTTTCTATTATAAGCCCTGAAGAGCTTTTAAAACAGACAACACAAAAGCACATCCAACAATACATACATATCAAGACATGCAACCATACAACTAAACATAGACACATACAATTGCATCCTTTTGATGGGGAAATATAAATACGCAGCCATTTCCAGTTGGAATGGGGACGTTAAATCCTATGCCTCTTGTAGAGAATGTTATGCTCTCTATACAGTAAAGAACATTGAAAGAAGGTGCTAGGCAAATGTCTGTCCCTACTCAACATACCATTATTTTCCACTGGTAGTCCAAATTCCCCACACATCATCACGGTTGACCCCCAAATTACAGAACCTACCTATTGATTATTATACCCCCGCTTTAAAAAAGTGGGGGTATACTGTTTTACCTCTGTCCGTCCGTCCGTCCATCCGTCCCATGAACATTTTTCGTCGCATCTTTCTCAGGAACTAAATCATGAGGATTTCTGAAATTTGGTTTCAGGGTTTATATAAGTCAGCTATACCGTGTGATGCGTTTTCAGATTCATCACTCAACAACTTCCTGTTTAACGAACACTTGCATCATTTTACACACGACATCCAAGTTGAAAATTTTCGTCACATTTTTCTCAGGAACTACATTACAAGGATTTCTGAAATTTTGTTTCAGGGTTTATATGAGTCAGCTATACCGTGTGATGCGTTTTCAGATTCATCACTCAACAACTTCCTGTTCACAAACACCTACATCATTTTACAATAATTATTTAAATATTCCAAATGCATATTTGGGCGGGGGTATCATCAGTGAGCAGTAGCTCGCAGTTTCACTTGTATTGTTGATATATTCTCGTCCTGAACATGCATGAAATATTTGACACTGGAAGTCATGAAAGCAAACAACAATTAATCAAACACTTTTTAGATCTCATGACCTAACCAAAAATCTTCTCTGAAACTACTAGACAAATATCAACCAAACTTAAGCTTCAATTTCCTTAGTATTATTAAAGTGTGTTTTCCCTGTAAATCAACTAACATGGCCACTACGGATAAAAATCGGACACAAGCGTAAAATCCAAGTTATTGTCTATTAATCTTACCTCCTATACATTTCTAGGAATATGATTGGTTAAAAGCAACCGCGTGGAGACCGTGTATATTTCATATGGGGCTAGTAGGCGGGGCTTATTTCAATACACAGTTAGTAGTGGTGTAACGTCCCTTTATAAAAACAACACGGTGTTGAGGAAAAATCTGAAAGGTTTCAACAGACGAAAAAATTGATGATGAACGATTAAAATAAATTCATAAAACACATTTAAAGCTAACAAGTTGTTATTGTTGGCATTTGTTTTTGTATAGACCAATGGAAGTAGGTTCTTAATACTAAGTATTGAAGACTTAATCACTTTGATAGGCCACTAGTCTAAATACCACATGTTAAGATAGTCGGTAAGATAAATTCGTTACACAGTGTGCTAATGACCTAATATTTATTACAAAAAGTTTGTTATCAATAATGCATTGTTGAAATGTATAGTCCTTACACAGGTATGGCCAATTTCCCCTGATTTTATTTCACACCACAGTTATTTCTTTATGTCCTTCAATCGTTTCCTAATTTTCACAGTATCATATAAATCAAATGTGTACTTTTAAAAGTTTAAACACCATTTTTGCGTATTTTCGAACAAACGATGAAATTATAAATTAACGCTTAAAGATAGTTCAAAACTGCAATTTTGAATAAAATGTTTTTTTCTCAAATTTTAGTATGTAATTAACAAAATGTATAGAAGAACACCATTAATCAAGGAGAGTATAGAGTTACACAATTATTGTTCAATTCATTTTGGGTAGAGACAATCATGTAAAATTTGCAATATTGACTTCAACAGCAAATATGTCACTTTAAACATTTCTATTTATTTGAGCTATGTAAAATTGTTGATAATTTGTGAGAGAATAAATAATCAACTCGTTAAAATCAGAATACTAGTAGGTTTTAGGATTGTCAGATGTTAATCATGCGAGTAAAAAAAAAAAACAAAAAAAAAAAAAAACCCAGGGGAAATTGGAATTGCCCCTTCCTCTTAATGATATATAATTGTTTTACTACAGGCAATAATAGTATTTTTATGCTAAACTAAGATCATTTAAAAAAAATCACTGACAAAAATTTGAAGAAACTTAACAGTGAGTAATCACATTTAATAAAAAGTAATGATACCAAGGTGGCAATCGAAAAAGTAGAAGAAAGACAGAAAATACTACGACCAAAAGAAAAATGAAACAATCAACAGTCCACAAAATAATACTCAGAAAACAAAAGATCCCTAAAAATACTGATGTGAACTAAATTGAAATATTCACCATGTTAAATAGCTAATTGACAACCAATTCACATTAGTTTGACTCCGAAACAAATAACATTTACTTATGCTCCTAAATCGGTTCAATTTCAAAGCTTTGGTCGCAACCGACCTACTAATAAACATTCAGCCTTCTGCCATCAAGGCGAGCTTCCTACCATATAAATATGTATCATCAATATAAGAATATTGAATTTGCACAATAAGAATATAGAAATTATGCATTCCTGTATCAATAAGAAATCAGGTGTTAAATTTGATAAATAAATCTTTCATTTCAAACAAAGTGTCTCTACACAATCGATTTACCTTTCCAAAATTTAATCTCCCGTATTGATACTTTGACAATCATTATTTTCAATTTTTGAAAAACCAAGACAATTATCTTTTGTTTATCACTGTTTACGACCAGAAGCAGATCATATTGTCTTGCAAAAACATGGACTGTATATCAAAATGTGGGCGAATACTACTTGTTGTTTTAAATGTCATTTTTTTGGTAAGTACTTTAAAAGATGTCATTTTAATGCAATTTTATGATGTCTTTACAAAATTTATCCTTTCTAGTCAAATCCTTTGTTGAATTCCTACATTTTACGTTCATGTTTAGTCAAATTCTCTGTTGAATTCATACATTTTACGTTCATGTTTAGTCAAATCCTTTGTTGAATTCATACATTTTACGTTCATTTTTAGTCAAATCCTTTGTTGAATTCATACATTTAACCTTCATTTCTAGTCAAATCCTTTGTTGAATACATACATCTAACGTTATTGATATAAATTACCCAGACTTTATTATTCTGCTTTGGTTTATGATAGCAAAAAGGTAGGGTCTGAGCTCTTCTATCAAACATGTTTAATCCCGCCACAGACTTTAAAAATATGTCGTTCTTTAAAAAGTAGACCCTTTCCAGATTGTCCTCGACGCAATGGTGTAACAATGATTTGATTTTCGAACAACGTTATTTACACAACTACACTTTAAGTCACATATTTTACCCCGGCTTCGTTTTAGGAAATGGTTTTCTTTTTTAAGTTTTATTCATGGTATATGTCTTTACTTATTGTTGAAGATTGCATAGTCACCAGTTAGCTTCCCCTCTCTATTTAGATGGATAGATATGTCTTTGGAATACATAATCAGATGTCCTTATTTTTATATTACATACCCAATAAAAGGACCGAAAACAATAGACATTAGCCATGCAAAAACTGAAACACTGGGAAGACTAGACTAAACAAAATTGTGCATTGTCAATACAAACTGAATGGAAAATAAGTGTTTGAAACCAGCTCTAAGACAACGTTACAGTCCATATTTATGCCATTCTTTGTTCTTTCCGCGACATATAAGTCAGAGGTGTGTTTTTCTCCCGCTTGTGTTGGGTGTTTGATGCTCTGAGGTCAAATTCAAACACAAGAAATATTTAGGAAATTTTTTGACAATAAAGAAATTTGGATTTTTGTAAGGATATTAGAGCTATAAAGACGGCGTATGTATATCCAAAATCATAATTTTTTTTAAATATAATAACAATATTTGTAGATGTGTAGATTGCTAGATAAGATTATTGAACAGGAAGTGATTATTAAGGAGCCCTTCGACTTTTTCACCAAAAAATATATAACGGGTAGAAATTGTCACAATAAATCATGCACATTTGAATTATAGTCTTGTGATTTTTTTTACGAAAAGAGCTTTACAAGTTGCAAATTACCAAATTCGTATTATAAAACAACTTCTGAA